AAAATTGGCTTTGTCGCTGTTAGATAAGTTACTTGTATTCCCCATGGTTTGTGAAATGTCTTACCGCACCTTATGAATTTATATTGCAAAAGATACAACGATTCATCTTCACAGAAATCTATTTTGTGAAACATTAAGCCTAATTGTAAAGATACAACTTAATTTAGTTTGAATAATACAAATTAATTATAATACTGTATCACAAAAATATTTAAAATAAATACAAAGTATACAATATTTTTTTTTTTATTTCGATATATCTAGTGTTACACAAAATCGGTCTTGGTCTTGCACTTTGCAAGACTAATACGAAGGCCGCCTAACTGTTGCAAGACCAAGACCAGAACTGATCAAAAAAATCTATTTTTAAAAATAAAAATTATGGCGAAATAGTTAGAAATACTTGGTAATCTTAGTTAATATATGTTAATAAATATTATAACTAAATTATCATTCGGGTTTAGTCAGGTTTCTCCTATCAAAAAATTACAATAATATCTCTGTATTAATAAGCTAATAAGTAACTGCAAGACTATTGTGAGACTCTTGCGCAAGACCAAGACTATGACCAAGATTGAGTTTGCAAGACCAAGACTCGTCGGTCTCGCATTTGGGCAACACTAGATATATCGATAATGGCCTATTTTATTTATTTATCACCTATAATTCTCTTATTTTATTTTTTCATACTTACATACCAATACACAAGTATATATATATATATATATATATATATATATATATATATATATATATATATATATACATCTTCTTACTTTAATATTACTTGATACGAAAGATTTCAGGTGTGAAAACTATAATGTAAATTAATAGGTTTCTAATCTTGTCCTCATCAAAATTATTATTTAAATTTATATAAATATAAAATATAAAACTACTAAATAACATTCTAAAAAATAAAGGAATAACCGACAAAAATTCAGGTTATCGAACACCAAAAGGGTGTGAGCGTTTCAAATGAGTGCTTACATGAAACTGGTTTCAAATCTCGTGTTTCTCGACTAGAAATTATCATCCTGATTTCGCATGCCCTCCTTGTTTCCTTCTGAGGGCAAGATATTATTTAAATATAAAATATTTTAAATACTAAAAAATAAAAAAAGAAAAATCTGCTTTCTAAAAATGGTATTATATCGATTTGCAAGCAGAATAGCTTAATTATTGAATCCGTTCTTGGTATTCATTTTGCAACTTTTTTTAATATAAAAAAATTAATCATGTATATAAAACTATAGGTGTAAAAAAAAATCTTTAAATGTAGGACAGTATAAATTAATTTTTTTGTTTGATTTCAAAACTTCTTTAAAAATGACCTAGTGATAAAAAAAAAAAAAAAAAAAAATTAGAGACTATTATATCTTAAACTTACTTTCTTTACTTTCAATTATAATACATTGTTGAAGTTGCGGTGAAATCTTGTATGATGTATATGGTACTTATACAATACGAGAGAAAGAAGTCAAAATACAGTGCATTTTATTTGTCTTTAAGTGTTATAACAAAATTCCATATTAGCAAAGAAACTTTATATAAAAATATCAAATTGAAAACTCTTTCTGTTAAGTCTTATATATTATTCATGATTTTTATTTTTTTTTTCTCACATAAATTTCATTTAATTCCGTTTAGTAGATCGACATGGCATTTAATCATCATGTGTATATACAGGCACATTTAGATATTTTTAAAATTATGTAAAACACGAATGTATGAATCGTTGATTTCCTTTGGCTTGTATTTTTGTTCTTGTTTGTATTCGTTCAATCAGCTGTCTGCGTTTCAAGAAAAATCAAACCGAATTTGGGTAAGTATTCTTTTTAATTATTTATTTATTGTTTATTAGTTGAGAGATGTTGAATTTAATGATACCTGCAGGATTTAATTGGATTTTCTTCATCCACTATCTATTTTGGTGAATTTTACACTTTTGATTTTCTTTGAGTTCTTTAAGTTTCTTTTAAAAATTATAATATGTTAGGACCAATGATATTACCAAGATCCGACATATAGTCCATAGTACAGACCCCTTTTCATCAAATTATTAACATTCGCCTGAAATTTCTTAAATATCTTATTCTCATCGTAATCTTCAACTATTTTCTTTATCAATACTCTTGGAATTGGGGCGTTATCTGGAAGTTGATAAACTTTGTCTATTTAATTAGGTACTAAAAAATGGTAAATACCCATTTGCTTTTCACTTGGATCGTAAGTTTATTTGATCACAAAAAGGTGGCCTACAAAAATGTTTGGCCGTTCGGCCTATATAATTTCATTATTTTGACAATTAGGGGGTGTTGGGCTCTATATTTATACCACCTATTTTATCGACTTTATGCTCAAATTATTTTATGATTCTGATGGAAAGCTAATTGGTATTTGCGAGTTTTTAGTATATAATTAAATAAACAAAGGTTGCGGATCTTGCCGATACCAAAAATTTTTGTAAATAAAATATTAGTGGGTTACGATGTGATGAAACTATTTACGAAGTTTCAGGCGTATGTTAATAATTTGATATTAACTGGTCTATACCACGGACTAATATTTGTTTCTTTGTAAATATAAGAATAAATATTCACCCTATTTTTCGTGTTTGCTTGTTTGAGTTTCTAATGTATTTGAAATGTCTAAAGCTGACTTTAGAGGCATTTATAATTTAAATATAATTCGAGTGAAACCTCGAGCTGACATTACATAACAAATTCATATTTTTAAAGGAAATGGGTCATTTTTTTATTTTAGTTTTTATATTATAATTTTTATCAAACGAAAATTTATGATGGTTATTTAGTAGTCCCCGTCTGGCAGGTTTATTAAATATGAAGCGGATAGGGAATATTAGCAAGTCGAATAGAAAGTGAAGTTGCTTTAAAAATTTACAGAAACCAACCTTTTTTTTTTTTTCAGTAATACTGTTTCTACATATGAAGATGTAAAGTCACATGGTCGAAGATAATAGTCCGTGGTACAGACCACTTTTTTATCAAACCATTAACATCCAGCTGAAACTTAGTAAATAGCTTCATCTCATCGTGACCTACAAATATTTTATTCACGAAGATTCTCGGAATTGGGGCGTTTTCAATCTACAGGTCGGCAAACTTTGTCTATTTAATTAGGTAGTGAAAACTCGTACATGTCCATTTGATTTCCACTTGAATCATAAGATAACTTGAGAAAAAAATCAAGAAAAAATGTGGCCTTAAGAAATATTATGCCGTTTGGCCTATATCACCTGGTTATTTTGAAAATTGGGGTGAGCTTTGGAGCTCAACTAAACCATCGAATTCTTCTAGTATACAATCTTTACAATCCAAAATCCTCAATACTCCCTACTTTGTCACAAATAAAATCATCCATAACGACCTTAACACCATATGTTTCCGATTTAGCCTTAAACAGATACCTATTCTTCCATAGCAAACTTGAACCCTCTCGTTTTAAACCTTGCTTGCGACTAAATGTAGTATTACTCAATTATGAAAAGTGTTCACAATTAACTTATGAAATTAACTAGAACTTAGTTTTTTTGTTTATACTTAGCTTGGAGAGAACTCCAATAAGTATGATTAATAGAATGAGTGATTCTCCAAATTCCACCAGAACCTTACCCATCATCTAAATCCCTGTGCACAATCTCTATCCAGCACCACCCATCCATATAATCCTCCAAGGAGGTTAAAACGGCAGTGGCCCCGCGACTTTTTATAGTTTGTAAATATTGGAGTTCTGGCAATGGCCAGATTCTCCACTCACGACATGAGTGTATGTGGCTTAAGCACTCTTGCTCAATCTCCACTGGGTTTAGCCCCAGTGACGCGGTTGAGAGAGAAGTGCTGGGATCTCCTGGAGCCATGCTTTTCCCTGCACACTTGGAGAGACAAGTCTGGTTTGGAGTTCCCTCACCAAATTGTAAATATTGTATATAGGTATGTATGTGTTCTTTTTATTCATTTATTTTTAGGTTATTTTAATCTTATTTATTGTATATATGTTAATTTTCTGTATAATTTATTTTATTTACTGTACATAGAGTGTGAATGTGATATGTGAACACTATTATAAATGTCCTTGAGACAGATTGTAATATTTTTCAATAAAAAAAAAAAAAAAAAAATAGAATAGAATAGAATAGAATGAGTAATGATTTGTGAATAATTTTTGATAGCACGCCCCGAAATTTTCATTGATTTCGTTTCAAATTAGTTGCATTCTACGTTTGGGTGTACAGTCATCTTTGCTATACCAAAAAAATAAAAATAAATAAATAAATAATAAAAAAAAATTCTCGTAACTTCCTAAACCATTTTCTACGAAACGGATAAAAATGCACCACAATTCATTACGATAATTTTCGATAAATAGAAAGAAAATGCATGTGATATTTCTTTTTATTCTTATGTTGATAATGTCGATCCCATTAAATGTTTTTTATTTTATTTAGTTATTGAGGATACAAGAAAACTTTAACAATGTTTCTCAGTTCAGTTTAAACTAATGCCAGGATAAAAGCTGTAATTATGACCTGTGTCAAAAACTCTAATAGCAAAAAAATATTAAAGTTGTGAAGTTACTTGAAGTAAAGGAATTTTCACTGAAAATATTAACGAGGATACTGTACCACCATTTAACGGTATTAAAAAAATAATATTAAAAAAAAATGAAGAAGCACCATGGAGCGAAAGAATGAAACTGGGAGGAGAAAAAACAAACGAATAATTTGACCTCTTAATTTTGCGATTGTTTTTAGGATATAGTTTCATAAATGGCAAAGAAATATCCGGAGATATTGCAGTAGCGTTCTGGTAAATAAAATATTATACAATAATTTTACTGGATGAATGCAATTTTTATGGTCGTGACTGTAGTGCAAAGTATGAGATTTTCAGAGATAATAAAAAAAATTACGAAAGAAAGCATGACTAATAATAAATTACTGGAATTCCTAAGTCGATATTCCAGAATTATGAAGGATACTATCCGGTGAAAGTTAAGAGGTTTATATTTCGGATCGGATCTGGAAGAGGGAACAAGTTGAATGAATCGTCGTAGCTGAGCGATGTTATCTCCAGGCCTGGAGGGAACATGTGGTAGATAAGACGCCCTTTAATAAGGAGCTCCGGCGAGCTGGAGAGGAGTCTGTAGTTGACTCCGGATTCTCTTCTGGATCTCCTTATCGGAAAGGGAGTCTTCTCGAACAGCTCGGTCAGGAGGATATCGTACAAAAAATAGCATAACCAATTTTTTTTTTTTTTTTTTTTTTCAACTTTGTTGACACTCGGTTCCATCATACAAACCCTAATTTTCTCTTAGTTTATATTTAATTAATATATCGTTGAAATATTGTGAGAAGCCATTTTGTACACTTTTGGTAGATTTTTATCTGAAAGTATGTAGTGTAAACGCACCAGTTATGGACAGGGGGTCCAGTCATGGATAGGTTGGACTTTAAATATAAATAATAAGCTTCCTTGTTGATTTAAAGGTTCTATTTTTTTCTATATTGAATAACAATGCCCTCTATTGGCAACTGTTTGAATAAAGTTGCCAAAAGAAAATTTTAAAATTCCTATCAGGATTGTTTCTATTGTGTTCTTGAGATCAGTGTGTTTCATACCTTATACCTATTTCATACCTACTAACAGTTTGGGTAAGAGTAAGTTGAACATTTTTTTTTTTATAATACTGTCTTATTTTTATCGTTATTTTTATAGTTAAATAAAGTTTTTAGATTTTTTTTTTTTTTTGAAAGTCGTAAGTGTCATGGCCGAAACTGAGGTTCTATATTCGTATCGTTCCGTCTTTGCTAGTTTGTTATGTGCTTATTATCTCAAATCCTGTTCTCAGACTTTGTAAACAGTGAGTTTATAAACAATTTAACATTTTTACATTATAATCAGTGAGGTGAGTGACTTTTATTAATAATTAGCAACATTAAATTGGTACTCGATTGCTAGAGACAGTTTACGTGGCAGATAATTCCCCTCAGCGGGTCTTATCTTTCAAATTCAAGGTCACGGCGCTTTATTTTACGTTCAGAATATCTTGAGTTCGTACCTAAGACAGTATATATATTTTTTTTTTCTCTGTTTTTATTTCTTAATTGATTATTTTATTTTAATATTTTTTTTCTACTGAGACTCTATTTTATTTATTTATAAAAATGTTTTTTTTAATATTTGTATATATATTTGTAAATAGATTAGTTATTAAGTATTTGTTTTGTAAATTTTCTTATTAGTGATACTTTTTTTTTTTTCTCTCTTCTTTTTGTATATATTATTATTTAGAGGTATGGATTCTGATAAGAACATTTCTTTTGACGAATCAGATGAAGAGACTCCTTTCTCCGAAATCAGTGAGACTGATTCTCAATATTTAACAAGGCGAACTCTCCAAAAGCGCCATAGAAACTCTGCCCCCGGTTCGGCGGGCAACTCACCTAATAAAAAAAAAAACAAATCCGCTAAAACAAAGCAAGCTCTCAAAGTAAATAAAGAATCAAAAACTAGTAATAATTCAGCTATGAAACCTGACACTAAACCATCAACTAACACATCCAGTAACAATTCTGTTACAGCCAATAATAAAATTAACGAAATCACTGAACCTAGAACTTTCACTGAACCAGTGCCACCTCCGATTTATGTAAGCAAGATTGACAATTTCATTCAGTTCGGTCAAGAAATAGCTAATCTGATCGGACCGACCAACTTCCGGTGTTTTTCTCGAGTCAACGATATAAAGATTAACACCAATACTAAAGATGATTATAAAAAACTTATAAATCATTTGACAGCACTCAATCACGACTTCCACTGCTATCAACTAAAAGAAGACAAAACATATAGAGTGGTTTTGAGAGGTCTTCACTCTACCACACCCACTACCGCTATAAAAAAAGATCTGGAAGATATCGGCCATTCGGTAAGACATATATCTTCTATCTTACATCCTATTGATAAATATCCACTGCCATTATTTTTCATCGATCTAGAACCAGCCCGGAATAATGCAGAAATCTTCGAAGTTAAAAGACTGCTGTATTCTGTTGTAAAATTTGAAGAGCCGAGGCAGAAACCAATAGTCGTTCAATGCACCAAGTGCCAAAACTTAGGGCATACAAAGGCTTACTGCCATCACTCGGTGCGTTGCGTTAAATGCGCCGGGCCTCACGCCTCTAACACCTGCCAGAAACCGTTAAATGAACCACCAAAATGTGCCCTTTGTGGTGAGGACCACCCTGCAACCTATCGGGGCTGCATTATCTATAAGAAGCTATATAAGCAAAGAACTTATAATTTATCATTAAAAGAAGAACAGAAGAATTCTACCCAGGCACAGGTACAGGCACCTGAACTCCTAAATTTGGCAGCGTTTCCTCAACTGCCGAACGAAATAATACCACAATTGACGCACAACCCTTCTACATCAACAGATCATCCCCATCAAGACTCTAGGCACCTATATTCAGACACTACGGTGAAGAATCAACAGCCGCGACGTCAGACGCCTCAGATTTCCAAAACTAAGACTCAGGCTTCCAAACCTAAGATCCAGACCTCCCAATCCAAGACTCAAATCTCCCACATTCATTCAAAATCTCCACGTCAGCAAATGCCTCCTCACCAGATACCTATACGTGTAAAATTACCGCCCGAACATCCAACTCCTGTTTATTCCCACCCTACTGCTCATATTTACTCTCCTTCCCAAGTTCCAAGGGTACATCCTTCATCAGACACTCCTTATCATAAGATCTTTCCCTCACGAACTCCTAATCAAAACCAACCTGACCAACAAAACCCGATCGATTTAATAAACTCCACCCTTGCTTCCTTCCTGAAAGATCTCCAAGAGACTATCAAGCCACTAATTACCCTCCTCACAAGAATCCTTACCGAAATTCCCTTCAATCTCTCACGATGAGCACTAAGCCCCTAGCTGTTCTTTTATGGAATGCTAACGGACTACAAAACCACCGAGACGAACTCGACATTTTTCTTCATGACTATCACATTGATATTGCTCTACTGACAGAAACTCACTTCACTCGACGTTCATATTTCTACATACGTGACTATATCACTTATAGATCAGACCACCCCGACAACACTTCCCATGCCGGTTCTTGCATCCTTATCCATAAATCCTTATCCCATTCTCTCATTCCTTCTACTCCAACGGAGGCTATTCAAGCAACCTCGGTTATCATTTCAACTCGTCCTTTCCATTTAACATTCTCAGCTGTATACTGTCCTCCCGGTCATACTCTTACCTATAACTTACTTGAATCCTTATTTCAATCCTTCGGATCGCGCTTTATTGCTGGAGGAGACTACAATGCTAAACACCAACGATGGGGTTGTCGATCATCCAACTCCCGTGGTAACATACTATCTTCTGTCTCAACTTCCAATAGTTACTCTGTCCTCTCTCCTATGAATCCTACCTATTGGCCAACATCCCTCAAAAAACGCCCTGATATCCTCGACATATTTGTCACCTCCCAAATTTCCTCTTCCCATGTCACAATAAAATCCCTGGATGACCTCTCCTCAGATCATTCTCCAGTTCTGCTTTCATTACACACAACCTTCGCTCCTAAGCCCTCGTCCTCTCCTACACTGATTACAGGACGAGTAAACTGGGACAATTTTCGTAAAGACCTGGAAAATAAATTGGACCTAAATATTCCACTTAAGACGAAACGTGATATTGACACAGCCATAAAAGAACTTACTACATCTATAAGTGACAAAATAAAGAATAATACATCTACCAATAAAACTGACAACTCCCAACAGACAAATTTGCCGCAGCATATTCGTATCTTATTAAGGGAAAAACGCAGAGCAAGATCGAAGTGGCACAGGACTAGATATCCATCAGATAAGACATATTACAACAAATTAACTAACCAACTAAAAGCTGAAATTAGAAAATACAAAGTTCAAAATTTACATAACATGACAGAAAAACTTACTACTTGTGACAAATCACTATGGTTGACCACTAAAAAACTCCTTAAATTCAAAGATTTTAACCACCCACTTATTACTGAAACCCAAACCTGGTCCAGATCTGATGATGAAAAATCTCAAATATTTGCTCAACACCTCTCAAAAACATTTAATCCACACCCAGACATCCTTAATCCAACCCACCTTGAGTTTATTGAAGCAGAATTGGATACCCCACTCCAATTGACTCCTCCACCTAAAGCATTTCATCCTTCAGAAATATCCAATATCATTAATAGATTACCTTCTCGCAAAGCTCCTGGCCATGACCTAATCACCTCCCAGATCCTAAAATGTCTTCCTAAAAAAGCCATACTGTTCCTAACCTATATATTTAATGCTGTACTCCGCACCACATATTTTCCTGACTCTTGGAAACTATCCATTGTCAAAATGATACCTAAACCCACAAAGCCGCCAGAACACCCATCCTCTTACCGTCCTATCTCCCTTTTACCCATTATGGGCAAAATCCTGGAAAAACTCATTTTAAAACGCCTGTATCCCATCCTAGACTCTAAACACATTATCCCAGATCACCAATTTGGATTCCGCACATCCCACTCCACTATTCAGCAATGCCATCGTGTGGTAGATGTAGTCTCCTCTGCATTGGAGCGCGGAATGTACTGCACGGGAGTCTTTCTCGACGTTGAACAGGCGTTTGATAGAGTCTGGCATCCGGGACTGATGTACAAACTCCGTGAATTCCTACCACCTACATACTTCCTCATTATACGTTCCTACCTTACTGACAGATACTTCAAAGTCAATCATAACAATGCTTATTCATCTCTTTTTACTCAGTCTGCCGGTGTTCCTCAAGGTAGTATCCTAGGTCCTATCCTTTACACAGTTTATACAGCTGACATCCCAACCCAATCCAACACTGTCATCACCACCTATGCCGATGACACGTGTATCCTATCAGTTAATAACGATCCTTTAATTGCATCCCAAACTCTTCAATCACATATCACAAGCCTTGAAGAATGGTGTAAAAATTGGAGAATAAAAATAAATTCCAACAAATCCCATCAAATCACTTTTACCCTCCGTCGTAAACCTATGACCTCTTGTCCTACAGTATCCTTCAATAATACTCCACTTATTCCTGTTGAGCAAATCCGCTACTTAGGACTCCACCTTGACAAACGACTCACTTGGAACCCCCATACCAGACTGAAACGACTAGAAACCGCCCGACGTTTTCGACTACTGCAGCACTTACTAGACAAACGATCTAAGCTTTCAATCAATTATAA